TCTGGAATCTGGAAAGAATAAAGATTGGGATCTCTTCATCGGAGATATTGCGTTCTCTATCAACACCCAGAAACAAGCCACAACTAAATATTCGCCGTATTTTCTGATGTTCGGTAGGAATCCCTATCAATGTGAAGAGGTACTTTCTACAGTGATACTCACAACATTGTGGAATTGGAAGACGACTGTGAGACTTCAGATTTTAAATATTCCAATGAACACATAAAACATTGCAACAGGACAGTGTACAATGTACATTGTTCATTGTACATAATATTGGTTTAATGTAGTCTTCCTATTCAACAGTTCTATGCGTCTCACTGTATACAGAAATGAAAAAATCCCCCCCCCCCCTGTCTAAACAGTCAAGGGTACTGTTGTGAATCGATCATGTAAATCTTCTTAAAGATTAGTTGATAATCAAAATAGTGGCGTTGGGACATTTCATAGATAGGACATTTTATAGAAAGACATTTCATAGACGGAGGAGTTTTTTTTAGCTTCAAATTTTTTTTTCTAGGGTTTCATAGATAAGGGAAAATGTAAATACATTGCTTCCCATATAAATTGCTACAAAGAAACAATTTAAAAAGCATAACATATGAAAAGTAGTTTATTTAATTTTTAAGAACTTAAAATTCAACTTTTATGAAATATCTCTTGGTCTATGAAATGTCCTATCTATGATATCTTTGAAATGTCCCAACGCCAAGAAAGTTTTGCTCTCACAACATGAATCTCAAGTTATGATTAACGGATGAGATATCAGGTGACCCCCCCCCCCAAAAAAACAAAAAAAATTACCGGTCAAGTTACAAATGAGAAAAAAGAAATTTTAACTGGAACTGCCATAAAATAAGGCTGTTTTTTATTATTTGGGAAAATTAATTATTTTTTTGGTGTAAAAATATAAACGTAAAAAAATTCAAGACCCTGAGTTATTGTAATGTACTTTTATTATATTAAAAGAAACTTATACTTGTTCAGATGCAGCTTCAAGAAGATGATGCTGCAGCAGTCACACAACTTCCGACGGAGGATGATGTAGAAAAGTTCGTCATGAATGACGAACAGCTGCGGCAATCAACTTATAATCTTGTGAAAGAAAATATGAATGCCGCCCATGAAAAACAGTGTAAGCAATATTACACTAGAAAAAAACTAAGGAGTGAAGAGTTTTACTCTGAAGAAAAACAATATAGTCTAGAGATATGGTCAATGTGAGCAGAAAAGGGGGAGAACTAGCCCAAAGTGGCAAGGCCCCTATAGAACTTTGGACATCGATAGACAAAGAAGAGTGTTGTTACACAGTGGCGCAACTAGGCCTTTTCTGAGGGGGGGGCGAAATCTGAAAGTATATTAGTTGCACTAAACTTCAGTCATCTGTAGACAGATTTAAGAGTCTGGTAGAATCAACGCTCTGGGTGACCAGTGACGAAGTCGACGACTTCCAGGGCTTACTTAAAAAGCACAAGCCTGGTGAAGTCGCTGGGCTACAGAGTACTTTGATTTTCAGTTACCCTTCAGCTCACCACATGATAAAAACCGTAAACTTTAGTGAAGAGCCCTTCATCCAAATAGTGAACAAGGGTGGCTCACATTGGGTTACTTTATCCAATTCCCAAACCTCACCAGATGTTTGTACTGTTTACGATAGTGGTTATAATCTATATGAATACAGTCAAAATCATATAGAAACGTTAAACATTCAAATTTCTAAATTGTTCCACACTTCAAATGATTTTATTGAAGTCAGATTTGCAGATGTTGCTCAACAACCTGATGGTCACAACTGTGGATTTTATTCCTTCGCATATTGTACATCTTTAATTTTTAATGACGACCCGAGGAATGAAAATTATAGTACGCAGGATTTAAGAATTCATGCTCTGAACTGTATCCGTGACAATTCTGTCATAAAATTCCCGACCACTGGTTGTCAGAGAACACACAATGGGTATTTAAGTGAATACTCAATAGAAATACACTGCATTTGCCGAATGCCTGCCAAAAATAACATGATTAGGTGTAAATCATGTCTAAAACAGTTTCATCCAGAATGTGTGACATTTTCACAAGGAGTATTGAATATGATGGGTTATACATGCTTTGTGTGTCAAGCTCACATCTCAACATAGATGGAGTGGCTGAAGATTTGAGTGCCTTATCGACCTAGATTAAAAAATTAATTAATTAATGGTAGTGCTGTCTGCATAGTTTCCATCGCTACTCCTTACAATTTAATCTGCAGGAATATATTTTTTCGAAGTTTTTTTTTACACTAAACTGTTTAACCCTAAAAAGGTTGGGGGGGGGGGGGGGATATTCTGACCATTCAAACGGACAGACAAACAAAGTATATTTATAGAAGTAAATCATGTTTCAAGGAGTGGAGCTTGCCCGATATACTAATTTCCCGTAGGAGGTGGGGTGCTTCCCATTACCAAGTAAAAATTGACCAAATTCAATAAAAAAACTTGCTATGGTTTATATTCCTGCATTCTTTGCTTTTAAATGTGAACTTATTTATTTATTTTGTTTTTTTAAAAGAAACATTTCATTTAAAAAATGTCATGCCCAATTCACCTCGGTAGCCTTAACACTGTTGTTTAATGATACCCTGATTTTCCTGGATTTAAATTGATTATCCTGTTTCCAATGTTTTTTAGTGTGGGCGACATGAAGAAAATTGCGAGTATTTTACACTGTGCGTAAAATATTACTTCATACAGATAGAGGAGGTTACTGTGGTTAATCAGACATGCCTATTGAGATGAAGGGTCATTTGATTTATTTTAATAGATACTTAATTTAATGTTTAGTTCAGTTCATATTTATTACAGTTATTGTAAAAATTAACATACAATTCATAAAAATGCATTTAAATTGTAAATTTTGTGAATACTGATAATGATTTATTTATTGTCTTATCTTCATATCACGGAGAACAATCATCAGTATTTTAGTACTAGTAAGAAAATTAGTTCCAGTACATATTTATTACGATTATGGTAAAAAAATAACATACAATTTATAAAAATACATTTTTGCAAAAGTGAATGCTGTTAATGATTTATTTATTGTCTCATCTTCATATCACAGAACAATCGATTAAAGCCTAGACTGGGAGTTTAAATGAATTTTGAAAATCTCAAAATTCTTTGGTTATAACACTTCCGAGAAATTGTAAGCATTTTTATTATAATTTAAAAAATTCACAATATTTCCATTTCACAGTTGAAATTTCCCTTCTGTCTCACAGTTACTTTAATATTGATGATCTGTAACAAATAACTACAGACTAGCTTTCCAAGGGTAGATATTGTCAATAAAAATCACCAACTCCAGTGAAGAAGTGTGCAAACATAAATTTAACTGCAATTTGTAAGGAATTTTATGTAGGATCGAGCAGTTCGAAGATAGCATTAATAAATAGCTAATTCTATTCATTACAGATCATGAAACAGCTCTTTGGTTTTTTTCCTTTTTTTGCTTAAAAAAGGTGATTTCTTGAAATATCTTGATTACGATTAAATGTTTTTTCTATGAAAAACTGATCTTGGTAACATATGATGTACTTCTTAATTCTGGCGCAATCTGAAAAAAAATTAATAAATATTTGAAAGTCTAAAACTATCATTGAAGAGGGCATAAAAAGATTCATTAGATCATGAAGGAAAATGTAATTTTTAAAATGTTTAAAATGTGACGGCTGTTTTTTTGGTATAATTTGAGGTTTAGGTTTGCTGGTTAGAAAATTCCTGGGCCGAGCGCTGCGGCCACATGTCCTTTTACAGGGTAACCCACAAAATATGAGACTGCAGAGACCGTACAAAAATTATAAATGTCTGTGTCTTCATATTATGATTCCAGCAACTGAAAAAAGAGTGTTTCAAGAGTTTATCCGAGCAAGAAGACTTAACTTAACCTTGCGATCGTCATATCTTAAAAGTTTCAAGTTGTCTGTCATTACAGTCTCATACTTAGTGGGCAACCTCAGCTGTAAAAAAAATATAAGCGAGTAGGTCAAAAGTTTGGTATAGCGTATGTTCGTAGGACGATATGATAGAAAGCTTAAATAATTTTTTTAAGAGCACCATGATTAAATGTTTATAATGTATTCAATAGCTGTTAAACATGAGAATTAACCGTGCATAATCGTTCTTATTTGAATAGTTGTGTTTGTTTATGTTTGTATGACTATAGCGCAATTGCCGCGGACCGAAAATATCTGTGACTCACCAGGACTAAATATAATGCCCGGGCCATATCTTACGTGACACCGGCATTTTAAGTAACTATCAATAACACACTATGAGACTTACAAAGACTTATTGACTCAACCTCAACCCAGCTTTTCTTAGAATTATCTAACATGATTCCATCTGGTTCCCTCTTTCTAACGGCTTCTCCGCTCAATCCCAACCTTGCCCGGACTATAACACTGGTTCCATATTTTTAAAAAGAATTATTTAACTAGAATTATAAGACTGGTTCCATCTCTCAAAATGCTTCTCCGTTGAAACCCCGCCTTGTCCGAACTATGAGTCCGGTTCAATCTCTTATAAAAGCTTCTCCACTGAACAAGCCGGAATTTCAAGTATGTAATAAACAAATTAAAAACGGTTTCATCTCCTAACCCCAACCCTAACTGGTATTTTATATATTAAAAACACGAATAAAACATTGGAAAGATTAGTTCACTTATTCAGAACAATAGAATAATATAAACCTTAACTAATATTTCTATTCAAATTTACAGTACCCAGAACGTATAGAATATTCCGAATTGGTTTTATAACTGTTGATCACCCTATATTCTAACTATAAGTACCTGGATTTTGCTTCTCAGTAATAAGCAAGACAACAAAGTCCACTCCGATTAAATGAAAGCAATATAATTCTAACATCAGAGAAAACATATGCTTTCTTTTAAAACCCGGTAAAATTGTACTAAATCTAAATACATACGTTTCAGATCTACAAATAATATGTCTACATTGTTTATAAGTTCAATCTTTTATTTAAATTTAGCTTTAAGCCAAGCACTAATGAGATCCAAAACAATAAAATCTGGACAGTTCTCATTAACACTAGAGTAGCAACAGAAAACCGTAATGGATAATAAAAATAACAGCCTTCAGTTTCTAGATACATATTAACAAATGCCGGGGTTATCCGTCCTCTGAGACAACAACAACGATATAACTGGATGAATTTTGTCGGAGACTAGGAAGACGACATTAGCTGAGGTTTGACACGACATTTGCTGTCGTTTAAAATGACTTCAGCTGTCGCTAAGAGTGTAATAGCCGAGTCCTCTCAGTTTCTGGTTGATAGCTTCTCAGAACTTTGAGAAATCTCTGGCAGTGAACCCAAGCTGAGAAACTGCGTCGCTGGGTTTAATGATAGATCCAGGTTTGTGATAAAGGACTTGTCTGAAAAATCATAAAATTAATTTATCAAATATTTATAGATTTTTTGAACAGCAAAACCTTAGTAGTGGCCTACTTTTTCTGCATTGATCCCATTTCTACTATTAAGGGACAAATAACTATAAAACAGAGATGTTTTGTTTTTAAATGGAAAATAGTTCTACCAGTAACTTATCAAGTCAGTTATTCAGTTAAATGGGTCTGTTTTTATTCCACAATTTCTGTAAATCATGATCATAGGAATATTCAAATCATAACTTGAGTTTTACAGGCGTCTTCTTATTTAGAGTTGTTAGAGTTGTATGCTTATCAGCTATCACTGTATTAATAATACTTTCAATTTACGGAACACTATATCTAAAAAAGGGAATTATAGAACAGAGATCGGATTTAATAAATAGCGATAAGCTGTTCTACTTCTTTAAGCATTTTCGGACACTCAATTAAAAAAAGTACAACTTTCGTACATATGTAGTACATCTGCTTCTCACTATTCATTATTTCAGTCCTCTTTTTTTCTTGTTCGAAAAAGGATATTTAAAAATGTTGGACCTGTTCTCTCTATTCTCCTCGTCTGAGAGCCAGGCCATCTTCTTGTTGTGCTGGAGGACAGCGTCCTCCGCCTTCTCAATAATCATTTTTCTCGTCACAATTCCGTCCTCGCTAGCGTAACCTCCGGCCTAGTTAAACCAAACACTATTAACTCAATGACCAGAGGGGGGGGGGGATATCAAATCGGAAATGATTTTATTCTTTAGCAATAATGTTATTATTAAAGGGACTGTCTATCTAACTTCAAGTGAATCCCAATATTAAGAGTTGCATGCCCAATTAATAACGGTAGCTTTTAAAACCATTTAAATCAACATTATGGTTCTTAGTCGTCGCTGCATAAATCCGCAAGTCACTTTAATAAGATAAACAATAATTAAAAATAATCAATTTTCGGATAAAAAAATATATCTTCAACATTATGCTTAGACCGTTGAAAAGGTACCGTTGTGAATCAGATATTGTAGTCACTTGAAATTACATCTTTAATCCCTTTAAGCTGAATCAAACATTTTAACTTCTTAAAAAAGAGTTAATAGTGCGAGTATCTTTCCTGCCAAGCCACTCCTAATTTAGCAATTTCTCTACCAGACATTCCAACAGTCTTTTCCGCTACCTCCGTACACAGAGATCCATAATCCATCTCTTCTATCTTCAACCTTCGTCCCTTACTCCCCTCCACAGCCGGTAACAGGACGTACTTCTCAAAGTATAATCTCACTAATCGCTCTCGCTCGTCTTTACCAGGTAATGCGAACTCCACGACCTCGTCCAATCGGTCGTTGATCGCCCAGTCGAGCTGCTCGGGGGTGTTACTGGCGAGAACCATCATAAACTTGTCGCTTTGCTCGCCGGTTCGGAAAAGAAAGGCGTTTAAGGTTGAACGAAGATCCTCAGAGATCGTTTCACTACTTCTCTTTCGTAGGAATGCATCGGCCTCGTCCACAAAGAGGATGAGGCCTTTTTTAGAGGTCTCTGCCCAGTCGAAAAGCTTGTGCACGGCTGTTACTCCGTCCCGGCCCATGGGGGCCACGTCGCCGCCCGTCAAGATTGCATAGTCCATATCACTGTGCATTGCAAGCTTCTTGGCAAACATTGTTTTACCAGTTCCAGGGGGGCCATAGAATAAGAGATTTCTGTACATACCACGATTCAATCTGGAACAGTTATACATTAGATTTCGTGTGTGAAAGTGAGTTTAGGGGAATGTTCTTTTTGAGGGGGGTGAAGTGATATTTTACTTCCTTCTTCCTAATAACCTTTTTCAAAATTTTGAAACTTTCCACTTAAGATGAACATAAGATTCACAAATTGGTCGGATCCACTGAGAGTAAGAAGGGCTGGGGGAGGTTAATTTACATTTTACTGTGACGTATTAGCTCCAGAACTTGTTTTGATGTGAAAAATAACAAAGATTGCAAACAAGATTGTAAATCGGGCATTGCCATCTTTTCATGGGAGGGTCACTTTAATTACGCTTATAGTCCCTTTAACAAACCCTTCCCCTTTTCCTTAATTCTACATCTTATTGGTTGAATCGGAGTCGATTTGTTCCAATAAGTTTATCTTACTTTGTATTTTTTGTTGCAAGAGCTACATCTCTGAGCCTTGATTCTAGCGCTGGATCTAGAACTATTCCGGAGAGAGCGTTCTGAGGTTTAGCAATTATCTTTTGTACCGTGTCTACTGGATGTTTAATAGCCTAAACAATTATTAATATTAAAGGCCCACCCTGATTTTAAAAAAGGGTAGGCATTTCTAGCCGTCGAAACCTATCCATGGCCAACGCGATCCGGAGAAAATACTTGCAGCAGACGATTATTTATTCATGCTTATAATAATAATAACAATGATCATGCAAGATCCCCATTGTGGAACCCCCAGATCGCCGCACCGTCGTGCTAATATTTAAAGAAAGATTACAAAAACTAATGAAATTAAAAACTGCATAGGGCTGATTATTTTTCGTTCATTCTGTCTCATTTCAACATTTGTATGAAATATAATAAACTCAAAGGTTCTAAACTGACTAATTCATTACATTTACTTATAACAATATAAAAAATTCCAATGAAATAATTGACAATGATGATTATTGAGCTTGATACTGATAATAATATAAATAATTATGAACTGAATTAACCTGAAAGAGAGGAGTTCTTGATGTGTCTCTAATAAGAGAAGGTTTCCCAAGCCGGGCTTGAATGTAATTAGCAGTAACACCTTAAATTAACAAAAATATTTAAATAGAACTTACCCGGGGCACCGTTGTGAATCCGACATGGTCTCGAATATGAATAATTTATAAATTTTACTTTAAAAATCATCAGCACCGTTTTTTTCTTTTCATTTAAATTCAGACACACCAAGTAAGTTATATAATTCAAACTACTTTACATAGAAGTTAAGGAAATTTTTCTTTACCAAGGGTTCCCAAGACCAATTTTGTCTAAAATTATCCCAAGCACAGCAAGGGGGAACTCGGGCTAATTAAAATTTTTAATTTCCCGAAAAAACAGTTGTACACAATTTCATCGTCATCTAAGATTAAATGCGCGAATCCTTCACGAAAACTTCGCAGAGCGTGTGGTTATTTTGCGTAACTGTCCCAAGGGACGTTAAGTTACTTATCCTCCCTCTGTTGGGGGAATCATAGGTCGGTAATGTTTGTCGAAAGGCGGTAAAATAAATTAAAAATCCTTATTATAAAAACTGTTTACTTATTTTATGAAGTGACCCTTTATTTAATGAGGTCACTTTCCCAATTCACAACAGTAACCTATAGAGGATTCACAACAGTAACCTATAGAAGATTTACAATAGTAACCTATAGAGGATTTACAACAGTAACCTATAAAGGATTCACAACAGTAACCTATAAAGGATTCATAACTGTAACCTATAGAGGATTCACAACTGTAACCTATAAAGGATTTACAACAGTAACCTATAAAGGATTCACAACTGTAACCTATAAAGGATTCACAACTGTAACCTATAAAGAATTCACAACAGTAACCTATAAAGGATTCACAACAGTAACCTATAAAGGATTCACAACAGTAACCTATAGAGGATCCACAACAGTAACCTATAAAGGATTCACAACAGTAACCTATAAAGGATTTACAACAGTAACCTATAGAGGATTCACAACAATAACTTATAGAGGATTCACAACAGTAACCTATAGAGGATTCACAACAGTAAACTATAGAGGATTCACAACAGTAACCTATAAAGGATTCACAACTGTAACCTATAAAGGATTCACAACAGTAACCTATAGAGGATTTACAACAGTAACCTATTAAGGATTAACAACAGTAAACTATAGAGGATTCACAACAGTAACCTATAAAGGATTCACAACAGTAAACTAAAGGATTCACAACAGTAACCTATAAAGGATTCACAACAGTAAACTAAAGGATTCTTGTTCTTTTCTCTGAAATTGATAATTTAAAAATTCTGTTTCTTTGTTTAAGTGTCCTGCAAAATAAAATAAAACAATAGGAAGAAAACTGACATATTTATCTCTTTCCAAGATGGAAAATGGAATAAATCATTATTTTAAATGTTTCTCTTTAAAAAGAGGCTTAATTGAAATTATTATTCTATTTCTGACATTACCTGTTGCTCGTTTAGCGGTAAAATACCCGAGAGCGAGAAGTGAGGCCCCGCCTGCGGCGACCACAACCTTGTCCCAGTCATTCAGGAAAGCCTGGAATCCAGCTCCCAAGACGCTCCCCGCGGTGGAGATCCCCTCCATGACAGTGCTCCGGTGCTCCTTGGCCTTTAATCTGATCTGTTCCAAGTACAGGTCCTGGTTCTCTCGCTCCACCTAAACATCAAAGCATCTAGATCAAGTAGTTATCTATATTTGTTTGTTGGAGGGTCTGATCATAACTCATGAACTGTGGACCGACTTGCTTCAAATTTTGTTTGGATAACTCGGTAGAACCATAGGAATGCTCTCAGTTTGGTTTATAATTTCTAAGTTAGGAAAGTTAAATTTTCAGGCTACGCTGGGTTCCCAAGCTGGTTTTAAAGAATCTCACTAAGCAAAGTCAGATTGTTAGGACGGTCGAAGTTAAACACACCAGACTTGAGATGAATAAATCAAATCTGAAGTAAGTTCATCTCATACTTTCAAAATCAAAAACTTTCAAAATTATCAATTTAAGTGAATCCCAAATGGCAATTTCTAAATTGCAGTTCACTGGATGGCAGTTTCAAAGATTTTCTCGAGTACGTCACAGAACCACTTTTTGACAAAATCTCAACACAATAGAATACTTGGACGACTGTAACCGCACATTACTCTAACAAAACACGATTTCAATACCAATTAAAAGACAATTTAGATTTCATACCTTAGCTCGAGCTATGGTTTCTGCTTCAATGCGTTTCGAGTCTGCCTTAGCTCTTAGCTCCATCTCGTGTTCGAGGGTAGATCGACGCATAGCTTCTTGCTTGGCTACGCTGTCCTCCTGTTTACGTAAATTCTCCTCCTTTAGAAAAAAGCGTTTGAAATTGATCGACAACAATTGAAGAGATAAAAATAGATGTGAGGTTTGCAAAATCCTTCAGGAGTAGATCTTCTATTAATGACAGATTAAAGTTGTTCAAAAATGTGTCGTTTATAAGTTGTCATGGGTGCACAGCACATTGCAATTTGAATTTTGTTCAATGTTCACATAGATTAATTCAACTGAAACACCTGGTCCGAACAAATATTAATAATATGTTACTGAAGAGTTTAATCACCTGCATCTTCTGTTGCTGAACGAGCTGATCCTCATACCTCCTCCTGGCGAGCTGGTCCTGGTATTCAGTCTTTAGCTTGGCCTGCCTGTTCTCCTCCTCCAGGTATTTCCTCCGTTGCTCTCCTTCAACTCTCTTCTGCTCAATCTTTAACTGCTCAATTGTGGCCTCGTACTCCTTCACCTTGACCTGCTGCTCCTGCTGTCTAGTGATCTCCTGCTGCTGAGAGAGCTGCAGAGCTTCCTTGGCAAACTTGGAGGATTCTAGATCCTTTGCTGCTTTTGCTGCTCTCTCTAAAGCTGTAGAGTCGAAACTGTAAGCTTCAGATCTAGATAAACAAGAAAAATTAAAAGCTAAAAGTAGTAGACATAGGAATGGCTAAATTAACTTATCAAATTTTAATTTGCAGAAATAGCTTAGGCACGCTTAGCCACAGTTAATAAATTTTTTTGGGGGGAGGGGGGATATTTTATGATAAAAATAGCAATAAGTTTTTCCCGAAATCATTTATAAAGGGACACCTATACCATATTTAGTTTCTCTTGAATATTCCGTTGTGTTTACCTGTATCCTCCATCTGCTCCCCCTCCCTCAGCTCCTGGGGCACCTGGAGCTACTGATTCTCCTCCGTCCCCAAGTACAGGTACCTTGAATACAACACATTAACACTGGAAAGTCGAAATCGGCGTATTTTTCATAAACAAAAACCATAAAAAAAGTATTTTTAATATATTTGAAATACCTGAGGTGCATCAGGTATCGGAGCATTTTTGTTCATCCCAAACAACCAAGACATTATTGCGATGCTTTTATTTTTAAAAAAAGTGCATGAAAATCTGAAAATAGTGCAAATTTAGTTAAATCACAAATGAGTATTGATTGTAGGTTAGTTTGTAAATCTAAAATATATGAAAAATATCAAGTTTAGGATTAACTAATTGATCTAGACAGTTCAAAATATACAAAATGAAAACAAAATTTAAAATAACTAATCTGTTCTTCATAATATTTGGTTTTGGGGTTTGGACCATTTGTATCTTTGGGATTGTATCAGTTTAGACTATACATTAAACAAAAGCTCATGATGTTTGGAACAGTTGTCAGATAATTTACATTACAACAAATAACATTTTTTTAATTTTTTCTTTTAGAACAAAGAAACAATTTTGTAACACGTTTAGAACTATTTTTTTTAATTGAGCCCCCTTATATTTGAACCAAAATATAGTTGNTAAATATGGCTTAAAGAAATGATTTTCGAAGATTTGGAAAAAATGGAAATATTACATCAAACTGTAAGTAAACCTTTTTTATTTCCAAAAATTCAAAAATCAATTATGTCATATAAAGCTATATCTTCTTACACATTTAGAGAGAAGAAAAAGTATAAAAAAATATAAATATACCCTGTAAATCTATATAATAAAAATAAAACAAGACATTCGTATATATATATATTTTGCGTATAGCCGGTCAAACGGCTGGACCGATTGGGCTGAAATTTTTAGTGGACACTCAGTTTTGACTATAATGATAACTTTTGTCTACTTTCTTGATTCTTGAAGAAAAATTGCACACCATGTGTTGAAAGAAAAAAGCCTGGATTATAATACCGCCAGACGTCACTTACAAGATGGCTCCAACTAATAATAAAACGTCAAATTATTTTGGAAATTTTATCATTTTCAGATCTAACAAAAAAATAAATTTCGAAAAAGTTTCGAAATTTAATTTCCCTCTTTCCCTCTAAAAATCATTTATCTACCCTTAAAAACCTTTAACAAAATTTTTCGCGAAAACATCTCTAATTGGAAATATTTTAATAAAATAGTTAATTAAACATTATTTACCAGATTTTTAAATTCAGCTTTTTTCTTAAAACTTGGGGATATTTACATTGAAACCTTTATTACTGTGGAATATGAAGACGACTATTGGATTCAAGTTATGAAGACGACTATTGGATTCAAGTTATGAAGACGACTATTGGATTCAAGTTATGAAGACGACTATTGGATTCAAGTTATGATTTTAAATATTAAAATATTAAGTTTTTCTTGGTTTCTTTTAGTAAATAAAAAACATTGAACAGAAAATTTTTAGTTTTATTATTCCCTGAATGCATATTCTTGTAATTGCTCGCCATTGTTAATGGTTCATCATCAGTGTCCTGAAAATTGTTTAAATGTATATTTTTTTTTAAGATTTTGTTTTCAGATGGAACTTGCATATTTAATGTACAGACTGATCGGCCTAGAGTTTTGCTTTTCCAAGCTAGGATAGACCAAGATAGGTAGATCGTCACGCGAGACTGACTAAACAAAATTTGGAGAGGTCCAAGAAACCTATACTTAGATGTTACCGAATGATTAAAATGTTCTCATGAAGTTTTCTTCTGGTCTTATTCTTGAGTAAACTAACATCGACAAGTTTCATGTAATTATCGAGAAATTGCCAAAATATAGAATAGTTTTCCCTTAATTACCTTCCACATAATTTACAAGTTCTTCGTTTTTCCTTATTGATCGAGTAGTTTCTGTGTAATTATCGAGTAGATTTCACTTAATTTTCAATTTGTTTCTTTAACAATTGAGAAGATTCACTAATCATCGAGTAGTTTCTATGCAATTATCGATTAGTTTTCACTTAATTATTGAGTAGTGTCTTACCTTGAGCAAAGGAACTTTCAAGGATTCAACAGTTGACATAATTCCCATTTTGATGATCTTTTTCTTCCTGTAAAAATAAAAAAATTAAGGTTATTATTGCAAAATCGAGGAAAATAAATAATTTTTTTAGCAAAGAATCATAATTATCTATAAAGTAGATTTTTTTTCATTTATTTCGGTTTTTTTATTCGTAGGAGAACACATTGCTTACAGATCCGGGGCAAAATTGTTTTATCGATTTTTAAAAATTTTTTCTTTACTTCTTGATTTCTTTTATCCAATTTATTCAACCAAATAAATCTAATTTAATAAGTCTTATTCGATTCACCCCTTGATTTTCTATAAACCCCCCCCCCCGTGTCTACCTAAACAGATTCCTGGGGTCCGGATCATCCATCATATTGATGATCTGCTGCTGGTCGGAGGCGTCCAGGGGGGCCACAGAGATATCACGAACTGCTCGGAATTTACCGCAATTGTTCAGGTGTTCGTTCTCCAGACGGAAAAAGTTCCAAATAAATCTAAATATAACAAATGAGTTTTCTAATTTATAGAAATTGAAATAACAATTAATAAGTAACTTTTTTAGGTTCAATCCTTTAAACAATACTAGCTATATGAGAGTACCCCCCCCCCCCCCACCTCCTAGGAAGTTGGTAGATTGAGAATTGAACCATGTTTCTCTTCAAGATCATTTTAAGACATGCTTACAATACTTAGTGAAACCTCATATAGCTTACAAATACAGAATACAAAAACATATTTACACGATAAACATATAGCCTGTCCCAAGGAGTATAGAGGAACTGGGAGGAATACAAACAAAGCTTAGTCTAAGTAGCACTGCGTGTGTTAAAATATCTCCCAAACTGCAGTACACTTTAATTTACGAGCTTCTGTCTTATCCTCAGCGCTCGGCCTGGTCCTAAGGTTGATTTATTTCCCCTGTTAATAAAATTAATAGTTTTACCTCCTAACGACCTCGAGGCAGGCGAACACCGTGGTGACGATCTCCGAGGATATGATTGAGTTGAGGCCAGACTCCTTGATGAGGAGGATGTAAACCCAGGAGAACCTCAACACTAGATCCTCCAGGATTGCAAAATAGTAATAATTCCTTAACAGAGCAGAGTTGGAAATTTATAAATAATAATTTCACAAAGCCTGAAGTTTATGAATGCGGATTATTTGAACCGGGATCAATTCAATTGCAGCTTTAAGCGTAGCAATGCTGAAGACGTTATTTTTTATCTTCCTTTCAAAAATATATAAAGCGTAGATTTAAAAATAAGTTTCTTACGTTGATGAGTAGACAACCTCCTCCCGTAGAAACCTGTTGTCTCCGGCATTGTCGGAGAAGAACCCCCAGTCCATCTTGATATCCCAGAGATATCCGTAAACTGTAGATACAACGGAGGATATTATCATCAGGTAGAAGAATGGACCCTTAGACTCTCCAGTCCTAAATATCATAATATCTAGTCATGTCCGGTAAATCCTGAAATATCTAGTCATGTTAGGTACAGAGCTCTGAGATTCTATCTAAGCTGGAGAACCCCCCTATCTAGTCATATCCGGTGAACAATTCTGAGATTCTATCTAGTTATGTCGGAGGAACTCCTAGAGATTCTATCAATTCATGTCCAGTATATTACTCTAAGATACCATCTAGTTATGTCCTGATATTGTCTAGATTATGTCTAGGACGGGTGGTTGTGAATCGAGCAAGGTCCCCTTTAAATGAAACATCAATTGAAATTACGTCTATACTCTATGGTCCCTTTATAAAGCACTTAAAATTCTTACTCATAATATCCATAGAGTGTAGTGAATAGAACAACTGATAGACTTGAAGTATATTTCCCGGCGTTTAGTAAATGAGGAAATGCTTCACGCGTATCTCTAAAATAATTTAAAATAAGTTTCTTGAAAAACAATTAACGACTGCTTTAATAAAAAGGAGGGCAAGTATTTAAAGAATATAAATATATGAAGGGAAATGACGTTATAAAAGGGATATAGTTAAGGATCTGGGGGTTTGAAAGGGTAAATTGGAATTGATAGGGAGTTTTGAAAAGAGATATAAGGAAAGGTAGGAAGTTTTGCAAAGGAATATAAGAAAAGATCAGGATTAAGGAGTTTTGAAAGGGTATATCGGAATAGATAGGGAGTTTTGCAAAGGAATATAAGAGGGTAGGAAGTTCTAAAAGGAATTAGAAAAGATAAGGATTAAGGAGTTTTGAAAGGGTATCTCATAATTTAAGGAAGTTTTGCAAAGGAATATAAGAAAAGATAAGGATTAAGGAGTTTTGAAAGGGTATCTCATAATTGATAGGGAGTTTTGAAAAGGGATATAAGGAAGGGTACAGGAAGTTTTGAAAGGATAAGGATTTTTGAAAGGAGATATAATGACGTGACATAGTGCTTGATTGAGTAGGAATTCAAAACCTTGTTTACAATCTATTCTTATACGTCACTTTAGGTTGAAATAAATAATTGGTTCAATAGCACTTTTTATTCTAACTCTTTATTTCTCTATATTTCAATTTTTTTGTCAGTCTAACCTGTAACGCCTGAGACACTGTGCGAACCTGAACCAGGCCGGGAGAGCACCAACCACCCCAACCAACCACCAACCACTAGATCCACATTCATCTAACTCTATCTTCTCCCAGTCCCATTCACTAACAGGAAAACATTAAAAATGGTTTATTAATACATATCAAAGCTAGTTCGAATTAAGATTAGGATTTGTCGGAAGCTTTTCTTAAGTAACTGCAAATTTGGGTGAAATAAAATAACATGCAAAAAAATTGCAAATTATGTCCCTCCCAAAAACTGAAGTGAGATTGGGTAAAAAGATTAACCCTTTAGTCAAAATAAAAAATAACTTACGAAAATCTGCGAACATAGAAGCAGACGAGAAACTGAAAATCCTTGAGCGCTTGCCCGAGAGAATTTGCTTGATCCGCCAGCCAGAAATCCGCGAATCCGACATAGAAAAATGGCGCCATGATGATTCTAAAGATGACCTTAAGACTCCAGAACCTGGCATCGTGCTGGAAGGTCCTGGTTGGATTGAGAAGGAATATGAGCATGATGAGAACGAGGAAGCCCGGCATAATAAAGGGTTGGATATCCAGGTGCTCTGCGTACAGGAAGGAGAGAATGGAAACCGTCCACACTACACCAAATATTGTCGCCAGCTCAAACAGATGCTGTTCCGATAAATGATTCCTAATCGCAAAATAAGCCTTTAAATTCCCTATTTTGATGAAAATATCACTCCCCCCCCCCCCCACCAAAAAAAAACCCTTTTTAAAAATTATTTTCCCCAACATATTATGATATTTGTGGTTATTGTTTAGGCAAAGGGGGAGGGGGGGGGATTGCTAGTCCAATTTTTCTCTCCCCCCCCCCCCTCCTCCTTTCCATGAGCGGGTATATTTACATACCTAGGATCTAGTTCGAAAATGAGAACATGATTGACCCCGGATGACCTCCAGCCGTAAACATTAATCCCCATCAGAAATACAAAGATTATGTAGAGAAGAGGGCCTCGGTACAATCGTAGAGCAACATCAAACTCAGTTCTAAACAAACAAAAATTTGTCAAAATTATTTTTTAAGTCTTCATGACATTAAGTGTTGTCAACAATATGGCCAATTTAAATTCTATGATTGAAGAACTTTCGTAATTTTCTTTTCGGCCATTAGGAGATTATACGGCCATTTTCTTGCTTAATTTGCTTAAAAAGCCTTGGTTGTAATTTTTAAAACCTTCTTTATATAAAACGTAAAATCATTTCTTTCTACTAAATTTAGATTTAAAGATTTAAAAACAAATAGTTTTCTTGGCTTTATGTAGTTTTTGGTAATTTGGCAGAAGAAAGTAAAACCTGTTAAAAAAAACTATTCTGAAAAAGAATTAATCACCACAATTTTTTGTTAAATACTTACGCTGAAAATTTTGAATCCTTTGCCCCGTGAAAGACAGCTGAAAGAATTACTGCAATTAGCAGAACAACAAATGCACCAGCGAACAGTCCAACCTGGAAAAAGAATTGTAAATAGTTTTTTTTTTCTTAAAAATCAGGTTCCTCTAGTGCCTTCAGTTGGTTCGTTTTGGGGTAGTTTTTTGCCTACATATTCTTTTAGAGTCAACATTTGGCATTACTTAGGAAAAGCAAATATTTTTAATCCTAAAATTTTCTGCTCTTAAACTATATCAAATTTTGACCCTAACAGAAGATATATGCTAAAAAAGACCCCAAAACGATCCCAAACGATGCTTCATCTTTTTCGGATTCAGATCATTTTCTATTTTTTTAGGATAAGGAAGGATATTGCAAAGTTTAACAAAAGCAAACTTAAACATAATACAGTTTTGAAAAGAGGGTTGAGGGAATTAGTTCCCTCATCCCTTACGAATAAACTTTTTTACCCCCAAAATGCCCTGAATTCTAACGTTTCTAACATTCTTACATAATATTCGTTGTCATGAATTTAGGGGAAAATGTAAAAAAATTTAATCTACTTCGAAGTCGAATTCTTTTTATTTCTCTTGTCCAAGCTTGGGACTTGGGATGTTTATTGAAAATTATTATTTTTCAAAAATTGTTAAAAATATTTTTTTTTAAAGATTTACCTTAAATGTTGTCCAAGGGGACTGTTTATCCCCTAAAGGAGGAACACGAAGCCTTTTCATTGCTTTCTGCCTAAAATAATTTACAAATCTACAAAACAAACAACCAGAGGTAGTTAACAATGTTTATTTTAACTCCTTTTTTACTTTCTTGTTTAAAGGTTGAACTAGAATAGCTGTTCATTGATTCCAAACAGTTCAGAAATCATTTTTATTCCACTTTATTCTCCTCTTCAATTAAAAAAAATATTTTAATCTTCAAAAATCATTTTTTAATCTAATATCTATAATTTAAATACAAGTTTTGAATACCTGTCTCCCCCCTCTAGGTCTGAGGTGACTGTAGACTCTGTGTCTGCAATAAGTTTATCAATGTCCTTGTTAGTGTGGAAGTGAGAGGATTCCACATTCTCCTCACGCCATCTACAAATATAGATTAAATAGAATTATGTTCTAAAAATGGGACTGTGTTAAATTATTGGATAAATTTGCAAATTCAAGAAATGTAATTTTGAATTTGTAATGCAAATTTTTAGAGTTACGTTGTAAAACGGGCTTTGTTGAGCGCAAACTATAATTTTATTTCTACAATTTTTAAAATTGTGTTTCAAAGTTTAGGGTTGTATCGAAAAATGTTGAAGGTTGTTTTGCAATTTACTGGTTGTTAAGAAAAAAATTTAATCTGCTCTCTTTATACATGCAACCAAAGCAATAAAAGCTAAAAACCTGGCCCCGGCATCATTTCTCAACAGTTTGTCGTGTTTCTTTAATATTTTTCTAAACCCAGTGAAGTTCAGATTCTGATAGTTTTGCAGCAGGATCAAGCTCAGGTAGAACTCAGAGAAGGCAAGCTTGAGATCCATCACCTTCCTCCGCTGGATCTTCTTGTGCCCCTTCTGGGTGAGATCATCATGGTCAGGACCATCCATCTCCGTCTTCAAGGTGGCAAACTTCCTAGTGGCCTCCGCCAACTTCTCAGCGTAGAAGGTGTTGATCTTCGTCAACTCCTTTGTGCAGTACGTGAAGAACTTCTCATCAAACCTGGAAAAAAATTAAAATTTCAACAATAAGAATTTTTTTTATTGCGACACATCCCGCCACATAATACTCCTCGTCTTTTAGTTTCTTTCAATCTAAAGCCTTTTCTTCTTTAATACTGTTTGTGAAGAATTTATTAAATAGTATTATCACTGTAACCTAAGGGAGTATCAGTGACTGATACTGTATCGCTGTATACTAATTAACCTACCTGGCAAAGTATCTTTGAGAAACCTCCTCCTCTACGACCTCCTCCGATGGCGCCTGTTCAACGCAAGCATACAACATTGCCTGAAACAGAGAATATATTTTAATTCCAAACTTTTCAAGCAAAGATTAAAAGTTTTATTTTAAACTGTCTTTTTAAAAATAAAATTTTTAGCTCTGAATAAAATTATATTTCAAGAATTATTAAATAAGAAAAATGTACTATCCTAGAGAAGTGTGGGTCTGTCTTATTCTACGCCTTTTGGACCCCATAAAACCGTATTCAATATATTAGGAGGGGGGTCCAATAACTTTACAATAGGAAACTACCGAAAGCGTTTTGACATGAGGTGCGGGGTTCGGGTCTAAGCTGTCGTTGGGCCTTATTTACGGCTTGAGTTTTCGGATTCAAGCTGCATCATACTTTACACAGAGTTCCGGGTTCTTATGAGAACAAGACTCAACATTGAGCTTTAATCTCCACTAAAACCAACCAAGGTCGGTTTTATTTTCATTGGGCTCAACTCCTTAAGTCGAGCCGAAGATCTTCCAGCTGTCAATCACGTGACACAAGCTGTCGTCAGAGTTGGGTCGAAGATTGGGTCTTAAGGTCGGGTTTAAAGAATTACGGCTCGAGCCGAACCTTTTAAATCAACGGGCTCTGGACATAAATTACCGAAAATCGATGAAAATGTCAAAATTAACTTAAATATTTCATCACCTTCATTTCTTCATATTGTATGTACTGTTTCCTCCATTCTGGGGTTATGTGCGCCCCAAGATGCTCCGTAAACTTCATTTTGAAGAATAATCTCACTCACAATTCACACTGAGTCACTATTCGCAATTCACTGAAAACAATTAATACTATCACATGTTCAGTTTGCCTTTTACCCGACTTAAGCTCGAAATAATCACTTTTCACTGCATTATCTGAAAATAAAATAAAATTAATAATAAAAAATGTCCGCAACATGCACATCAGTACTTCTTGTTTGCATTATTTAATAAAAGGAATAAGGATCTTACGGTGTTCTATTTGAGAAAGCATGCGAGCAATGGAAGACAAGCGCATATACCGCAATTATTAAATTCATCCTTACAGATCGTCTTCAATCTAATTTAAAATCAATTATGGAATGACTAAGTTTGAAAATTAAAAACTAATACTAAAAGTTTATAGTATCCAGGACTAAGTCCTAAATGGACTGGGTTGGATCAAACAGAACATCCCAATCCACACTGCTGTGGTCGGCAGCTCCTGGCTCATCATGGCTGTTTATTGTATTATCTTCTCAATCCTTTCTAGCTCAATTTATTGTTCTATCCTCTTGATCCGTCCCAGCTCTGTTTAATATTCTATCCTTTCATGCCGTCATAGCTCAGTTTCTTCTTCTATCCTCTCAATCCGTCCTAGCTCAGTTTATTCTTCGATATCCTCGCAATCCTTCCCAGCTCAGTTTATTCTTCTATCCTCACAGCCCGTCCTAGCTCAGTTTATTCTTCAATCCTCTCAATCCGTCCTAGCTTAGTTTGATCATCTATCCTCTCAATCCTTCCCAGCTCAGTTTATTCTTCTATCCTCTCAATCCGTCCTAGCTCAGTATATGTCCTCTCAATCCGTCCTAGCTTAGTTTATTCTTCTATCCTCTCAATCCGCCCTGGCTCAGTTTATTCTTCTATCCTCTCAATCCGTCCCAGCCCAGCTTATACTTCTATCCTCTTAATCCGTCCCAGCTCAGTTTATTCTTCTATCCTCTCAATCCGTCCTAGCTCAATTTATGCTTCTATCCTCTCAATCCGTTCCAGCTCATTTTATTCTTCTATTCTCTCAATCGGTCATAGTATAGTTTATTCTTCTTTCCTCTCAATCCGTCCTAGCTCAATTTATTCTTCTATCCTCTAAATCCGTTCCAGCTCAGTTTATTTTCTATTCTCTTAATCCCAGCTCATTCAAATCTTTTTGATTCAGATAATTTTAAATCAAAAAATAATATGAATTTAAAGTTAAATTGTAAAATGTTTATGTGAGGCTAGCAATGTCCTGAAGAATATTTTACATCAAAATCTTTAAACACATTTTTAAGATGCTTATTGCATATCTTATCACATGTCAACAGAAAATGGACCGCGAAATTGTCTGATAAGCTTAATATATTAAAAATAGGAAAATATCTCTGAAGAATAATGAAAAAATACAATTTAAACCTTATTTAAATTTTCCACATTTATTTTTTGACGAAAAAATCAATCAAAATATATGTATTTTCGAAAAATATTTCCAGGAAAAGAATATTGTACAATTTAAAAAATGACTTTCGGATTCTTGTTAATTTCTATGCTGCAGGTTCATGTGGTTTCTTAAAGTATTTTTTGTCTTAAGAATCCTAGAACAGATTGTACAGCTGTACCCACGACTGTTCACATGAAGTGCCTGAAAAAAAAAACAATGAGTTAGAATGCGTAGTTTTGATAAACATGGGAAAAATGTACAGCTTAAACAAAGTTACCCAGAAAGGATGATACTGTAAAGACGACCCAAAACTTCTCAATTATGACGATTCCAAGTTTTAATTATGAATTTTGCCGTGAATCTCCTTATTGAATGATTTGGCAAAGAAATAAGTTTATGGTTGCAGGGCATCATGAATATGAAAACAGACCGTATAAATTCCGTACAGTCGTCTCAGTAGTCCCATCATTTGTGGTTAACCCTGACTTAATGTTTATATAATAGTTCTACTTTAAAAAAGATTCATGTAAATTAAATAAAATTAAATCACTCAAAAAATCTTGAAATTTAAACCAATCAAGTCAGGCTTTAAAGGGAGTTCCTACTATCCACGTTTCAATCTCAAGACGACATTACTAAATCAAGAATAAATCAAGGCCTTATAGCTTGTAAATTGTAGGACTTTTCCCTTTTAACTGTTTTAATTTATGGCTAATAAATGTTGGTTAATTTTTGTACTTAATTTATGAATATTTTTGTTGCATTCTTAATTATTATGCTGTCCATAACAGCTACAGCCGACATCCGATATCATGCAGAATACTTTTAACATTCAATTAAAGACCTACGAGTGCATTTGCTTGTAAACATACACGATTTATCTTTGTTAATTGTAAGAACAATTGCATTCGATCTGGAATAGATTTTTGAGTACATTTTTTCTTTTTGACTTTGATTTCACGAAACTGTTTGATCTTGCAAGCTTTAAAGATTTTTTTTGTTTTCTTTTCGGCTTAAAAATTATCAAGATTTTTTATTTAGTTATTATTATTACCTTTTTCACACTTATACGGATTGAACATCAGGGGAAAAAACATTTTATATTCAAGGATTTATTAAAAATGTAATGCATTCTTGCTTTAAAAGCTTAAACGTAATGAAATAAAAAAAATGCATTCTTAGCAAAATTATTTTTTTGTAATAATTAAAAGCTGACCTCGATATGTTCGTAAATGTTATTCTTTACTTTAGAAGATCTGCCACAGTCTGTACATGTCCATACCCCCGTACCGTCCCGGTACATCTTCTCCTGGATCACCCGTTCATAATCTGCAGTACACAATAACAATGCTTGTACACAATAACAATGCTGTTACACAATAACAATGTATGTGCACAATAACAATGAATGTACACAATAACAATGAATGTACAAAATAAAAATGCTTGCACAGTGTACAAAATAACAATGATTGTACACAATAACAATGATTGTACACAATAAAAATGCTTGTGCACAATAACAATGCTTGTATACACAATCATATTATTTATCCTATTCCTAGGACTGTTTTCTTTTTGCAATGTCTGAGAAAAAAATTCACAATATATTGACCTTGAAAGAAACTTTATCTTCTGTTATAAATGCGAGAAAATATAAGAACTTAAGTCTTGAATCTGAATCTTTTTTATAAGCTATGCATGGCCCTTTCTGATGTACCTTATACAGGGTTACCAAATATTAAGTGATACTTCAATAAGTTTAACCTTGTATTCTGCTTTAAACTTAACCTTTGGTAAATTCTTTAAAATTATTTGGGCAATAAAATTGGTTAATGGTTACAGCCAGCCTTTCTAAGAAAATACGAATGAAAATATAGGGAATTTGCAAGTCATCTTGACGGAGTAAGGACTTAAGTAAGTGGAAATAAAAGTATATTTCATAAGGGCTAAAATCCCGGACACTTCTCGTTTATAATCTCACTCCTTATCGGTAACAATACATAGAAAAACAAAACTTAATTTTAATTAGAGTTCTTTTATTGGAATAACACATTATTTACTTTTTCACTGAATATTAATTCGTATTAACACCGAAAACGTTTAAATAATTCACTTAATTATTCAATATTATTCACTAAATTATATTCCAAAAGATGGAGAAGGCAACAGGAAAGAAGACAATGAACTGAAGTGTCAGACTGTATAAATTAAAAAGATAAAAACATTAAAAAAATACATTTTTAATAAAAAAACAAGTTTTAAAAATTATTTGTTTATTATCAACGTTTTAACAAACTTGAATTTTTCTGGTGACAAGGAATATTTCCGCAGTGTGCACCCTGACGGTATAAAATTATTCTTTCATGGAAATTTTCAGGTCATTGAATGTAATAAAATTATCTTCACAGGTAGATTAGGTAGAGCTTGATTTGAAGGTACTTTGTTAACCGACCTAGAGGAACCGAATAGTTTACAGACCTACAAGTTTTACGACATTTTCGTAGGTTAGATCTTAAAAAAATGAAGGAGTAAGGGGGGAGTTTTAACAAAGATTTTTAAGAATATTTTTTAACAGATTGGTCAGAGACAGAAACATTTCAGGTCAGCTAGCCCTAGTTTGGATACTATATCGGCGAATTAAACTGCCAAAAAATGAGATCGTTGTTTGTGAACGTTTAACGAGTTCTTGGTTTTAAACCACTTGGAGCACTCCGGGCAGATATATCCCTGGGAGGTCACGTTGTTGTCGCAAAGGAACAAGATTCTGACGATGAACAGATAGACAAGGTATAATCCACGAATCAAAATCGATAATGCAGAAAACTCTTTATTTCCTAAAAAAATAACGAAATGAATAATGATAAATAATTATTACAGGGTTTACAAATTTATAATGAAAAGATTCTTACGATCTATTTTCCTATTCGTGAGACTATCTGTCGAAAAGTCCGAAGACGCTTTTTATACATTAAAACTTCTGAAAGATTGACAATTAAATGTTGATGAAAGTCACTAATTCTTTAAATAGAAATGTTTTTGTTTAACTTTGAAATGGTTCACTATTGATAAACGTTTTAACTCCGTCATCGGAGAACAAGGAAGAAAGGCGGGCTGAAATTGTTTGGTTTGGATTCTTGACTCCGAGAGGAGCATTTAAGTTGAAGACGATATTACATGAACTGTGGGGGGGGGGGGGTCTTAATGTTAATGGTTGACACACGTGCTTAGCCTCCACGTGGTTCCTCATGTTGGTGCTGTAGGTCGAGAAAAATCCGCAAGTAGAGCACTGCCACCCACCCTGAACCTTCTCCATCATACGGTTCAATGCCGCTGAAATATTATTTAAACTTTTATAATATTGTCAAGATTTATATTACACACTTTGTGTATGATCAACAGAAAATAAAAAAAAGTTTGAATAAAAAAGGTGAATTAGAAAGAAAAAATTAGTCAGAGACATAATGAAAGTAGAAAAAACAGGAAGAGGATTTAGAAGAGTCAGGAAGAGGAATTAGAATAATCAGGAAGAGGAATTAGAATATTCAAAAAGAGGATTTAGAAGAGTCAGGAAGAGGGATTAGAATAACCAAGAAGAGGGATAAGAATAATCAGGAAGAGGAATTAGAATAATCAGGAAGAGGAATTAGAATAATCAGAAAGAGGAATTAGAATGATCAGGAAGAGGAGTTAGAATAATCAGGAAGAGGAATTATAATGATCAGGAAGAGGAGTTAGAATAATCAGGAAGAGGAATAAGAATAATCAGGAAGAGGAATTATAATGTTCAGGTGAGGAATTAGAAAAACCACGAAATGGAATTAGAAAAGAAAGAATAAATAGGAAAATAAAAAGGATAAATAAGAATAAATAATCATGATGAGGAAGAGGAATTAGAATCAGGGGCGTACGAGAGCATTTGTGTAGGGTGGGGGGAACTTTTTGCGCAAAAAAAGTTATTGTTTGCCCCTTAAAAACCCCTTTTTTAACTATGTAAACCATTAGATCATATACACACTTTCATATAACAAGTGTCAATGAATTATTTATGTAATTTTCTTAAGTAGACTTTGGTGAAAAATAGAGATGGAAACGTTTCTTTAAAAAAAATCTTTTTTCATAGACAATACATATTGTATAATTATAAATAATGATATCAAAGCTATATTTACACTGAAGGCAGTAATGATTTAAGCTTTTTAATGAAACTTTTTCAGTTACAGGCAAAAGTGAGACTTCAAAGTAGGGAGTAGCGAGCGTAAGGCCCCCCCCCCCGTCTTACTACCCTGATTAGAATAATCATGAAGTGGAACAAAAATAAATTATCAAGAAGACGAATTAAAATAAAAAGAATGAAAAATAAAAAAAATAAAATATTCAAATTAAATAAATATTAACAAAAAAAAAGAAATTAGTGTCTGTGATCGAAACTATTTATCTCTTCATTACAGGGAGGCAATAGGGAGGCAATAGGGAGGCAATAGGGAGGCAATAGGGAGGATAGGGAGGCAATAGGGAGGCAATAGGGCAATAGGGAGGCAATAGGGAGGATAGGGAGGCAATAGGGAGGCATTAAGGAGGCAACAAATATTGGAGGGAATATAACATTGCCGAGACTTCCCAAGACCTTGTTGGGTTAGTTGGGTCCTAAAGCATCACGAACGTATACAGCGAACAAATTTATGGAGATTTTTCCACTTCTCAACAAAATAAAGCATTTTATTTACTTCAAAATCTACCTTTTTCTGGTTTAAAAACTAATCTATTTAGTTCAGAAATCAAATCCAATTCTTAGAAGAAAAATTAATTAAATTGCATCCCAAGGGTTGCAATCTCACATTACGATTTTGAGGTTGCAATGTAAATATCAGGGATTTAAAAGTGTCACAATTTTGATCAAAAATTGAAAAAGTAATAAAAAGTACTGATTGAGGAAAAAATTAATTATGGAAAAGTTAGTAAAGAAATTAAAAATCTGGTAGGGGAATTAAAATAATTAATTTGTAAAAGGAAAATAAAAAAAGGAAAAACTGTGGTAAACCTGAAATTAACAAATGTCGGTGTAACTGTGACGATCTTTATTACGTATTAAACATCAAAAACATTTTATTTTTAGTGCTTGAGCCTATATCTATGATTCCGAACAGAATTAAGGGTCTTAAAACAATTTCCGCATCCGGGACACGTGTATCTGGCTCCAACCACGTGTTTGGCCTCAACGTGGTTCCGCATGTTTGTACTGTGCATTGAGGAAAATTCGCAAACTGTACACTGCCATCCTCCCTCTGTGTTCCGATACATGTATTCTTCCCAACCTACAGTACAGCATAGTACAGTGCAGTACAGTTAGGTAACATTACAATATACTTAACAGAAGTATCTGTTTTCTAACCAATTTTAGTAATAATTAGCAGAATGTTTGCTTTTAAACACCTAAACACAACTTAATGAATTGTTCACTAAAAAGTGGCAGCTGGAAAACAAATAAAATAACCAAAAATATTTTTTACAGGTATTTGACAAAATTTCTTTAATGCTTAAGACGATGTCTGTGGTTACTCAGAGCGTTCCTTGTTTTACAAAACTTGGCACAAATCGGACAATAATGTCCTTCAGAGACAAGATGGTTGGATTCCACGTGGTTTCTCACGTTGGTTGAGTAGGGGGAGGTGTAGGCACAGACGGTACAGTGCCACCCTGTCCCAGGGGGCTCACCACGGACTATCATGCTTTCTATACTCTCTGAATAAATAATAACAAATTTAAAAACCCTAATCAAGGAAATGAACTATCGTATGAAAAAAAATACTGAAATCTGAAACTTAATTAGATGTCCAGGCTGAAGACTGACATTTAATTAAAAAATTAAAGCATAGAAGATCGGATCTGTCCGCAATGGTGACAAACATTTTCCTGGCATTCTTATCTTGATTTCTTATCCAAATATCTTTAATCTTGCAATGTTGATATGCATTTCATTATGCCGATATTCTAAAACATTATGATAATATTTTTAAATATATTTGGGCTTTACGTGTTCTTTCATCTTTATTTACCAATGGCATTTAACTGAGATCAAAAAAATTTGTATCTAACAGTTTGATCTTCTTATATCCAAGACAAGTAAATATGAGTTAGTTGTAGACAGAAAAGTGAAACGGATTTTAAATGTATCCCTAGGTTTGATGTCTGGTAATAATGGTATAAACTGTATCTCTATGATTGATATTAGTTGTATCCCTAGGTTTTGACCTCTGATATCAATTGTATCCTTAGGTTTGATATCTGGTATAAGTTGTATCCCTAGGTTTGATGTCTGATTTCATTTGCATCCATAGGTTTTGATGTCTGATATCAGCTGTATCCCTACATTTTATGTCTGATATAAGTTGTATCCCAAGGTTTTGATGTCTGATATCAGCTGTATCCCTACATTTTATGTCTGATATAAGTTGTATCCCTAGGTTTTAAGTCTGATATCAATTGTATCCCTAGGACTGATGTCTATAACGAAGTTTATGAATATTTAGCGCATTTCTTGTTAAGCAGAACTTCTGACAAACATGACAGCTGTATCCTGCGCTGGCTACGTGGTTCGCTTCAATATGGTTTCGAACATTTGTGCTGTACTTGGACTCGAACAAACATACATTACACTTCCAGACACCAGAGGAGCATTTGACCAGCATACTTGCGATACTTTCTAGATATAAAAGTTATTTTTTACAGGAAATATACATCGTAGTTGAAGGGTCTGTTTTAACCAAACAAGTAAAAATTCCGCAAAAATAACATAAAATATACTTCCGTGACTATAAGGGAAAAAGGATATCAGAGAAGTTGTGAGAATGACATTTTGAATTTTAAATTTCATCTTTACGAGTTTAAGATAAAGCCCTAGTTTATCATATACAAACTAACAACATAATTATCAGTAATTTTAACTCTTTTAGGTTAATATAAAAATAAAAGAATAAAAAGAGGAAAGGACAAGAATCAGAAAACTTTTAAAACACTTAATCTAATGCGCAATATTATAATTGATGAATTCGTTTCATTTCAATAATATTTTTTAAAAATCCTTATGATTTATGTTTTATCTAAATCAATATTTACAAATGTCACTGACTCAAATCCTGCTTTTTGATAATGAATATTAAACAGATGAATTTAAAATGGGAGTTCCTCTGTGAGTTCGGGAAACATGAGCTTTCAGCGAATTCTTGGAAGGACAAAATTTGTTGCAATGAGGACAAGTGTAGCCTCCGGTATTGACATGCTTAGCCTCCACGTGCTCCCAGAGCCTCGTTTTTAACCTCGTCTCCCAACCACAAGCCTGACATACCCAACCAGCCTCGGTCTTCACACAAACCAAGTTTTAAATAGAAGAAATATCTTTTTTGTCCAAAAACTTTTTATAGCTGAAAAAAATGAATTGGGTTTATTTTAAAAACTGAAAAAAAATTGCGATTATTATCTAATGAAATATTTAAAAATTAAAAACTAGTTTTTGGTCAAGAGATTTAGTTGTTTAAAAAAATATTTTACCAAACCAAACTTAATGAGTTTGTTATCCTGCCTTTTGCATATGCTCTTCAACACCGGGATTAGCAAAATTATCCACAATACATACTAGGAAATCAACCAATCAATATTGATTACAAAATAATCATTTTTATTTTTAACAAGTTTTCAATTCTTAATTTATTGGGGTTTCAACGACAGGAAATCGTGATTTCATTTTAAATGTAATTAAGAGAAAATTATGATGACAGAAGACGGGTTAGATTCTCCAGGTTTTACTTATAAAAATCCGGGCTCAACTCCAGACAAAGGTTACAGGACGGAGAGGATATCCCGGTACTACTCCAGGCCAAAGATACAGGACGGAGAGAAGTGTCCAGGTTCTAATCAAGACCAAGGATACTTGATGTATCCAGATATTTATGAGACTCAGAAGCTGAATGGTCCAGCTCAGGATGCTTCTTCCTCAGATGTTGTCTGTAAACATCCCTCCGTCGGAACATAAGACCACAGAAGCATGAAAGCTGGAGATTACAATGCCGTGCCTCAACATGTTTCATCACGTGATCCTTCTTCTCCCTAGAGTAGGGGCACAGGGCGCAGTTCCAAACCTTCTTCTGTCCCTCGCCAATACTTTCGTACATCTTGTCCAGAATAGTCTCGGTGAAAGCTAAAAATTATAAACTTTCTTATTTGAAATCTTAGTTTTTCTCTCAATTTTATGTTAATGGAAAATGACAATTTCTAGACAAAAAGACACCCATCCAACCCCGTTTCGTTATTACAATTTAAGGTTGGACGTCTCTAAC